AAAAAAGAAAATTGAATGGCTTTGGGACTAGGACTGCCAGAGTACTGATGGAAACTTATACTTAGCATATCGGCCCGGAGAGGTAATTAATTAACCACGAGAGTATAAGTTGTTTTTCAAAAACAATTCAATTTGGTAACACCATTGTCACAAAGAGTAATAAGACAAGTCAAGGCCGGTCGTCAAGGTAACAAAAAATTTGTCCATTGTTGTCAGGTTACTGACTGACAGCAAAGAGGCGTGATATTACGTCACCGAGATGAAAGTTGTGTTTAAAGATGCGCAAGCCTCCACAGTCCCGCATACGGCTCACTCTTCGATACTGTTAGGTCTGCTGTTTGTGACTCACAAGGATAAATCAAGTTCCTCAAGATGAAGAGCCTGTTAATTGGCGCCATTTTTCTCTCGATTGGACTTCCGTCTGGTAAGTAATTTACCTCAGGCGCACCTTTTGCGTCTGCAGCGACGTGAATTACATCAGTTCTATTCAAAGCAAACTCGAAATTGCAGAATTATTTCGCTCTTTCAGTAACTATTCGTCAATTTTCATCTGTTTTGATTTTATTCGTACTTCTATTCATCCAATTTTGTTACATTCTGTCCAGCATAATATAATTTCGTTCTCTGCAAACCGAATCTTGGTTCAAAGCAAGCTTAAAACTTTCAAATCCTTCCGAGTAAAACCTCGTCCAGTTTTGAACCACTTCATGACAACCGTTTTCGCTCTAAAATCTCCTACATCGGTTTAGAGTGTTTCCAGTCCCCAGCTTTAAATTCAGATCGATGCAAATTCAGAAAGAGATATGAAAATTAAGTAAATTTCGGCTTACGCGATTGTTTTATCAGTTTTATGAAAGATGTTTTTATATGTCCATAATGTTCGCTTAATAAAGCCTGGATATTCTATATACAAGGCTAAAAGATTATAGGAAAAAAATTATTAAAATGTTTAAACCAAACGTTGTAGGCTGTTTGCCATCATCAGGGTTGAAAATAATGACCGTCTGTACATACATATATATCTTATGTGATTCGCGATGGGAAAAGTTTGGAGACATAAGAAATAACTTGTCTGTTCAAACTGGGGCGGAATTGTTGGATCATTAGCCCCTCGACGATCCTACGCTTGTGGAATGTTTGTGCTGAGGAGAGAACACGCCAAGTGAAAGAATGTGATGGATTTTCCCGCAAGTGTTTTGCAGGTTCAGAAGTGTGAGCAGGATTTGAATGCTCCGCAATACGTACTGCTAGATTTCTCACAGTTTCGCCAATGTAATCAGCGCCACAAGAACAATCTCCTTTGTAAACAACTTTGGATCTGTGAGTGTCTTTGTCTTCGTTGTTAAAGAGGCTTTTAATTTGCTTTGTTTGCCACAGGATTACAAAGATGAAATTAAAATTAGTGAACTTGTTAAGTTTTGTAACAAACGTCTTACCGAGTTTTTCGCGGGAAAATCCATCACATTCTTTCACTTGGCGTGTTCTCTGCTCTGCAGAAACATTCCACAAGCGTAGGATCCTCAAGGGGTAATGATCTAACAATTCCGCCCCAGTTTGAACAGACAAGTTATTTCTTATGTCTCCAAACTTTTCCAATCGGGAATCACATAAGATATATATGTATGTACAGACGGTCATTATTTTCAACCCTGATGATGGAAAACAGCCGAAAACGTTTGGTTTAAACATTTTAATAACTTTTTTCCTAATCTTTTAGCCTTGTATATAGAATATGTTTTCATATGTATATGTATATGTATATGTTTTCAGAGTAATATTTTCAGTTTGGCATTTTCACCTTTGCCGAATTATCACTATTATTCAAATCAGATCAGTTAGCTCGTTTCAGACTGAATCTTGCACGCAATTTTCATTTCAAGGACAAGGGCCGACCCCTGGCTATTGTGTAAATAGCTTAAAAATATTAAGGTTTAACTATGTGTGCACGAAACGTTCAGTCCAAGAACATAATCAAGGTTGCTTTCACTTTAAGAAATCCATTCAGTGCATTTACCAGGCTAAAGACAAACATTTCGTTGAGTTTTCAAAATTAAAGCTTTCGAATAATTTTTGCTTAGAATTTAGGTTATTCTTTCGTATATCATTTCTTTTTTCTAACTTGCGAAAAGACTCATTAAAAGAACATGAACAGCTGTTATCTTTCGCTAATTGTTGGCCCACATCCAATTTTCGCTCTAATGCAGCTTCAGTGCAACTCCGCAGGAAAGCATCAAAATAATTAAAAAAAAAACAACAAAGAAAGAAACTGATTCCATTCAAAAATTTTAATAACTATGCGTTAATCGCATCCCGCAAAACATTTTATTGGTTCCCTTAGTGAAATCCTGCAGATTGACGCGCTTCGGTCCGGAATTCCATGAGAAGATGTGTATTTTACTGAATGAAATGATTGTAACCTAGTTGAAATTTAAAAACGATCTCTGGCTAAAATGATTAAAAACTACGAGCTTTCGACTGCCCGAACTGCAGTCTTCAACGGATAAAATGACTGATAAGAAAGCGATGAGAAAATTAAGTAAAGACATGAACTGCGAAATAATGAGAATGTAAATGATTATGAATATTTCTAACAAATATTCATAATCATTTACATTACATTTATTTATTGTATACGTCTCCTCTCGGCGACATTATAAGAAGACATGATATGAACTTCTATTTTTACGCGGATGACCGTCAAGTTTATTTTTCGCTTGACTCAGTTTCATCAGTTACTACTACGAGAATCGAAGCCTGCCTACAAGATAGTGGAACTTGGATGTCATTGAACAAACTTAAACTTAACGGTGATAAGACTGAGCTTTTGGTCATCGGATCGGGCAATCTGTCTGCTTCTCGGCTTCCTTCTTTTACAGCGATTGATGGATCTGTTATACAGCCTTCGAACTATGCCAGGAACATAGGTGTAATCTTTGACAATAAGTTAAATATGGAACGTCAAGTTTCGGCTATTTGTAAATCTGCATTTTTTCACATCCGGAATATTTCTCGGATTAGAAACTTTTTGTCAGTTAGTACTACTAAGGCGTTAGTACACGCCTTCGTTACATGCAGATTAGACAACTGTAATTCTCTGTTGTATGGTCTTCCGAAACATTTAGTTCATAGATTGCAATTAGCCCAGAATTGTGCGGAACGGCTGATCTTATGTGGTCGTAAGCATGATCGCGTTATTTCTTTACTGAGGGAACGGCACTGGCTCCGCGTGGAGCAGAGGATTATTTTTAAAATCTTATTTTTTACTTTTAAAGCTTTAAATAATTTATGCCCTAGTTATATCAGTGACTTGTTAGAAACTTATAAGCCTACTAGGTCTTTGCGATCATCGAGTAAGAACTTGTTAGTGATTCCTCGCTCCAAGTTGAAATCTTACGGCGATTGCGCCTTTTCTGTCTCTGCACCTAAGTTGTGGAATGACATTCCTGAAACCATAAAATGTAGCATAGATCTTAACACTTTTAAGCGTAATCTTAAAACTTATCTTTTTAAGCGTTATTTTAATGAATGATTACGTTTGATTATTATTTTACTTTTTACTTTGATTGTGAAGCGCCTTAGAGCTTTTGGATAGGGCGCTATATAAATTGTCATTTATTATTATTATTATTATTATTATTATTATTATTATTCTCATTATTTCGCAATTCATGTCTTTATTTAATTACCTCATCGCTTTCTTATCATTCATTTTACCCGTTGAAGACTGTAGTTCGGGCAGTCGAAAGCTCGTAGTTTTTAATCATTTTAGCCAGAGATCGTTTTTAAATTTCAACTATGTTTCATCCTGGCTCCGGCCCTTCAATATTTTCAAAATTACAACCATTTCCGACAAACGAAATAGGCTACCACAAATCAAAACTACGAGCTACGCCACCATTCTACGTTCATAAGTTTAATCAATTTTATACTGGATCCGTGTTTCGCCGAGAATCACTTTGGCACACAGTTAACGGGTTCTTAAATTAAGATTTCCTACATGGCGTCTTAATTTTCTGACCAACTGAAATCAAGCGGTCTTGAGTTTCAAGTTTTCAATACTATGGAAACAACCAAAACACCCCTTCATCTCAAGGTTTAAGGGCTCCAGGGGGTAAAAAGCATTGTTACGTTGAATTATTGTGGTGACCATAATCCCAGAAGTAAACTACAGCTCCTAAGAAATTTGCGAGGACAGAAAAAACACCAGAGGAATGTTATATGAGTAGACAAGGATGGTTATTAAAATATGAAGGGTCAAATTATATTGAAATCAGTGCGCCCTTCATAAATGTAATGACTATGCTTTGATTTTCAAATCTTGTATTTAATTTCCCATTTGAAAAAGACCAGGTCAGTTATCAAGGGCAGAAATTTTTATCTCATTCATTTGTTTTCTAAACATTCCTTATCGTGTGCTTTTCAGTGTTGGGTTTGAAGTGCTACACCTGTACCAGTTCCGAGTCATGGGATAAATGTAAAGGAGAAAGCACGACCTGCGTGGCTGCACTTGCTGATCAATGTGTTAAGGTTTATCTTAAAGTTGGCTCAGTCCAATCGTTCGGCAAAATGTGCGGATCCGATGCTTACTGTGATCAGAAAACCAACCCTACCTGTAAAGACGCCAGTGGATCGTTCGAGTGTGAAATCAATTGCTGCAAAGGTGACGACTGCAATGCTGGCTCAGCAACCCGCATCAGTGGTATTCTGTTACTGTCATGCGCCTTGGCCTCTCTGTTGATCTTTTTCAAAGCCTGAAACTTGACCGAGGTTGAGTTCAAACACGGCTGATGATAAAGTCTGCAAGTATTATACGCTTTTATTAAATAATGTCGTAGTGAATTTGGAGAGAACTTCTTGCTTGGGACGTAGTAGTATAGTAGATAGGATAGTTCTCGTGAAAAGGAGATGAAGTCAGGCCGATTTATACATTCAACAGAGGATGCTAGTCCATCATAGTCTATCACATATTGTGTTAATTAACAACAGAAAATTAGAGGTGCTTTTTTAAATTTTTAAATGATGTAGCTCTGGAAAAATAAAACGTTGTTTCTGGACAACCTCTTCTGAAAGAATATCGGATTTAATCAGGAATAAGTATTATAGCTCGTACTCGTGTTGCAGACATCATCATTTTGCCTAAAGATTTCACTCCCCCCAACCCCGCCCGGTAACCATGTTTGCTGTAAACCTTACTTTGATTTGTAAAGATTCATAACGTTTCTGAGGGCTACAACATCTGCAAGATCTAAATCTTTCAAATTTAGAACAACGACTTTTAGCTACATCGATGGAGAGTTCGTGGTCTATTAAATCTGTTTTGTTTGTGGGAAAAGCTTGCAAACTGCACGAAAATATTACTTCACTTGTTTCATCAGCTTTAAGCTTAATCATAATTTTTCATAAATCATTTTGCTACGTTTCTTTGAAAGTATCTCACAATAGGTCTGGCATAAACAAAATTGTCTTACCAAGCGATCTGATTTTTTTATCGTTTTTCAAAGAAGGTTCTAGCAGCCACTTCAAATTCAGCCAAGCCATGCTGAAACGTCAAATAAAACGTCACGTGAATTTCTCCAATGTTGCCACTGCGAAAATAATGTGTCTGGTAGGGGGTCGTCCCATCCTAATGGTTTCTCCCTATTGGTTTTCTTCCCCAAGAGTACCAGCTGCTGAAGCAGTAATTTTCCTGCAAGTAACACTGGCACTGCTAGGCCTGAATGGATCCTAAATTGAATTCACGACCGATAGAACTCCTCTTTGCGTGAATGGCTTTTCAGGAAGGGAGACCTTGAACGTAAAGGTGTCTTCCTCGAGGTTACAGTAGACTCCTAGAGAGCGCTGTGCGGGAAGACTATCGCGCCGAAGATCTAGATCTCGTACTCCCTTTCCCCTATCTCCGGCTGGGAATGCTTCCATGGCTTCAACTGAGTTGGATACGACCTTATGATGCTTTAGGTTAGCGGTGGCTAACATTGCCTGAGTCGCGCTGACAAGATCGATTACTTCTTTGGTAGTGGGTCGTGATGCCAAGCCGTCGTATACCTAGAAGTTTCAGTGTACAAATTTGGCTGCATTTTCTCCAAACTTCTTCTCGCCGTCAGCTGCGGTCTTTCTTAAACCAAAGGTAGCCACAGCCGGGCTTGGTCCATTTCCAAAGAGATGAACATTCATTCGGTACTCCATTATCCGTTTGCTGGTTCTACTGTCTTCATACCAGAGAAAACGCAGAAAGTCTCTGAGATAGAAAGTCTCTCTTGAATAACCTTAGCCGTTGGCTGAAAGCTAACAAGCTGAAATGTTGCTAAAACAGAGTTAATGATTATTGGATCAAGACAAAGACTATCTGCCCAATGTGAAGACCTAGAAATCAGAATTGATGACCAAATTATCAAGAGAGTCGACAAGACCAAATCTTTGGGTCTTACTATAGATGCCCAACTCTCTTGGGGTAGCCACGTTGAAGAGATTTGCAAGAAAGTCTCTTCAGCTATAGGCGCCCTAAAACGTGTACGGCCCTTTATATCCAAAGAAACTGCAATTAAAATTTATAACGCTTTGATTATGCCTCATTTTGATTACTGCAGCCCCGTCTGGGACTGTTTAAGTGGCTACTTAAGCGATAAGCTCCAAAAATTACTGAATCGAGCAGCCAGAATTATTACTAAATTACCCTTTGATACGAGCTTAAACCACCTTCTCTCACCCTCGATTGGGAGAGGCTATCTCTTCGACGAGAGAAACAAAAATCCCTAATGATGTATAAAATTATAAATAACCTTTCTCCCGAATATCTACAAAGTCTTTTCTCTCAACGTCACTCTGTGTGCGACATAAGAAACTCTGAGGGAAGGCTGGCCTTGTCCAAACCAAATACCAATTATTTGAAACGAAGCTTCTCTTACAGCGGGGCCATGTTATGGAATAAATTGCCCAAAAACTTAAAAAATGCTTCATCCATTAACCATTTTAGGCGAAATCTTAACGTAGTCCATATATAGGATTCCCACACGGCAATCATGTAAAGCAGTTGATTAATCTTAGTTTTCATTATGTAACTGGTGATTTTCCATGTTTAAATAAAGATTTACATACATACATACAGATCTGGATCGACGTGAAAGGAATGAAACATCTGCCTCTCCAATTCCGCCCAGAGATTTCTCAAGAGGCCGTAGAGGTCATGATGTTTCCTTCTCCGATAATTGTCAACAAGTTTTTGTGGCTCTCCGCTCGTAAAACTACGCAGGTAGTTTATCTCCTGCAGGGGGGATACGTTTACGTCCACTATCGTGGCTTTAAACGCTGCTTTCCAAGGGTGAAAAAACGTGGGGTCCCCGTTGAAAACGTCCGGGTAGCACTTCGGCAGATTCTGGCAACGATTTGCTGATTTACCGAGGTCAATGTCTCAATTAGCTGGCTTCCGTTGACGTCTAGTAAAGGGGTTGACGTGATAATTGGCTGCTTATTACTGGGGGTATCTTGTTGCGCTTTCTTAATTGGCAGTTTCTGACCGAAGGATTGACTTTTCGGTGCCGCCAAAGGCGATAAGGGCTTTGATTGTTCTAATGTATTTAACGTTTCTTGCGCGCGTCCGGGGCGTGATACATAATCCGTGGGTGTGGGGTTAGGCGTAAGAGAAGAATGTATCCATTGTGAAGAGCGCTCTTCGGTTTTTATTCCGTGAACTTCGAGTGATGGCAATTCGGAATCTCTCTCCAACTCCTGTTCTAATAGAGCTTCCTCAAAAACTTTTATCTTCGCATTTGCTACAACGGCTTTTTTATCTGCTCCTAGAATCTTTAACTCCTTTTCGTATCGCGCTTTTTCTTGTTGCCGAATCCTTTCCGCCTCGGCGTCACGCGTTCTGTGCTTGAGCTCTTTCTCTGCTATGAGGCACGTGTACAGAGCTTCTCGACTCGCAGCTCGGGCATCGGCCAGTGCTTGCAATCTTGCGACGCTGCTGCTAGTACTTGAGTCTAATGCGCGGTGCGAAGAATGACGAGAGTTAACAGATCGTGTCTCCAAAAATTCGTCGGATTGTCTAGCAATTCTGTTTTTTAAACTATCTATAAGTAGGAGAGCTTGATTTAAGGTCTCGTTTTCCTCCTTGAGTTGGTCTCTATCTATAAATTCACCGTGAAGATCCTGCACACACAGGCTAAGTAGGCCATGTAAAAGGCTTCCAAACTCCTCCGCGGCGGCCGTGAGGTCGCTCGTTGTGGTCATGATATCAGTGTCATAACTAGCCTCTTGAACTGATCGCATAATAATTAGGAGACTTCTACGCGACTTAAAGATTTCTCTACGCTTATCTTCTATGGCATTTTGAAGGGCCCTAGATGTCAATTGTAGTCTCCTTTTACTTCTCCTAACTCCGCTCTCCGTGGCTCCGTCGAGGTGATTGCTTGCCATCTCTCCGTGAATCCGGTTTTAAATACGTTATGTACGGCTTACCTCTCTAGCCTCTGTTGTTGACTGAATCATGCAGACTTTTCACTTTCGTGTTCCCAGTGTCGTAGACGTGTGGTGTTAGGCACTGGAGTTCGCCAGGTCAACCACAGGGAAGCACTAGGCGATTAGCCTGATTTTAATAAATATTGAATCTTGCTGACCGCCTAGTGCTTCACTGTGGTTGACCTGCNACAACTCTTTAAGGCTTCTATTCTGCCTCATTGAACGTATTGTAGCATCGTATGGAACATTTCTAAAGCAAGTGACTGCAGAAATTAGAGCGAGTACAAGATAGGGCCCTTAGGGCCATTTATTGCGGTAGCAATTCATCCTATCCTGAACTTTTAGAAAGGGCTAAATTACCCACTTTACATAATAGGAGGTTGGAAGACAATGCATTGTTAATGTTCAGGGTTCAAAATGGCTTGTGCCCAGATTACATTCTTGGGTTGTTTTTCATCAATAGCAATAACTACAATCTAAGAAATAATGAATTTAAAATTCCAAGAGTTAACACCACAGGTTTTCGAAAACATTCTATCAGATACTTGGGACCAGTACTCTGGTCAAAGATAGACAGTAAAATAAGGGAACTTATAACTATAGATGGAATTAAAAGAGCGATCTGGGAGTGGACAAAATGGCGGCCGGACACGAATCTTTGAGCTCCATGGAACTAGCAATTTTGCTGCTTATGACTACCTTATTCCTTCATGGAAGTGACAACACTAGTTCTCTTATTCTACGAAGAGACGCTTCAGTCGGAATGGAACACTGGTCGCTAGTCGTAGCCAACACAAGCTTACTGAATTCTCGCAAGACCACTCCAAGTCGCGGCCATGGAAAACTTTACTTGTCTACGAGATTTTCTCACATTTCAAACGGCACAAGTAGCTTCCAAATCTAGCAACTCATAACTGGAGGAGACATCCACCCAAACCCCGGACCTACAACGAAAATGTCCAAACATCCTTGCAAAGAGTGTGGCGAATGGGTGCGTTCCAATCAAGATTCCCTACTGTGTGTTGTTCAGTGTAATTCCTTCTCGCACACTAAATGCCTGAACTTAACAAAAGCGATGTTTAAAAGCTACTTACATAATCAGGTCACGGACTGGAAATGCTCGCTATGCTCCTTACCATTTACTAATGGGATTGTTCTCTTAATAAGGAGCCAGATTTCGATCGCGAAATTGGGAAGAAATTATCTTTTAATACATCAATGGATGAAAATTACACTAATGGTGGATATGCAAACGACGACACTACAATCCTGGAAAAAAGAAAAGATAATCCCAGCGCTGCATTCATTATGCATTTAAACATAAACAGCATCCAGAATAAATTTGAAGAGCTCAAAGAGCTGAATGATGTTTCAAAGCTCAGATCCTGCTAATATCCGAGACTAAGATCGATAGTTCGTATTCTAATAGCCAATTTACCCTAAACGGATATCACATGTATCGGAAAGACAGAGTAAAAGGTGGCGGATGACTCATTGTCTATTTCTCTTCTGTTATCCCATCAAAGAAATTAACACTACCGAGAGCATACAAAACGCTTGAAGCTGTCGCTGTCGAATCCAGGATAGGGAGAACTGATATGGCATTACTTGCTATCTA